GACGTAACTCCATCGTCCTGAGAGGCCGACACATCTTCAAAGGAAGAGCGGAGAAAAGCAGCTTCTGGACTAAAGGAATATCCGTCATCTTCACCAGACGTCGCAGACAAGTCGTCAAAGCGTTGTTCGGAAAAGTCCTGAGCAGAGATCGGTACTTCTGCTGCCTGGTCGCCGAACGCCGTCTCTAAAACCGCGGCTAACTGTTTTTCTTTGAAAACCACACACATTTCCTCATTTCCAGGTGTCAGGCCAGAGAAGCACTGCTGATGATTCTGAAAACTCCATTTTGTTTTGGAGAAGCTTCAAAATGAACATGAACTTAACCTAATCAATGTAAATTAGTCAGAATGACACCAGCACAAGACACACACTCTCCAGAAACATTTCAGACACACCAGGTTCAACTTAAATAGTGGCTGATCAGACCACTCTACAAACAAGAGGGGAACAATTAACACACACATCCTTACACACACACACAAACTAACCAGTCTAATCAATTCAGGTAACTCAAATAACTAAATCATAACTACAAACTCCCTATCCATAACAGAAAATATCTACATTAAAGTAAACACAAGCATAAACATGAATCTCCCCTCCCTTGGGAGTAGGTAGATCCCAGGAGTGCTGATTAGGCTTCCTGAGATGAGCTGTAGGACTCCATGGGTAACTCCAAGTCACTGGTGACTCAAATAGAAGTAGAAAACTAACACATGCATTCATCAACAGACTGATTCTGGGCACATCAAACAGTCATCCTGGACAGTACACAGAAAGCAGCAGTTACCAGAAGACCATGTCCCTGAGGCGGCAGACACTGCTGACACACCAGGGAACTCTTCGCTGGGAGACTTCGAGCCAGATTCTCTAAATTCAAACACATCAAAATATGGCGCAGTTACTTGATCGGGCGTAAAATCAGAAAATGTTTTTTCAGTCAGTGGTTCTGCGTCTTCATGGGCCACAGAGACGCTTGTCTGGTCACCAGAATCCTTCTCTTCTTGGAAAACCGATGGTTCCACATCTCTGAGTAGACAAGGTGAAATTTCGAGTCCAGGGCTATTAAAATCACACTCCAGTTGTTCTATAGAGGATAAATCCTTTTTTTCTGTGCCTCCATAAAAATATTTATAAGCTTTTCTAACACCTTTAGTAATTAGAACACCTGCCACGAGCACAGTAACAGCAAACATGGCTGTACGGGTAGTTAAGAGGTTACCGAATCGACGCATCCTACCAGCTAGCTAGGCTCGACTGACTGACGAAGTGGGTTCTAGCGCGCTATTTATCGGCTGGCGGGATGACGTCACAAAGGGACGTGATCAAAGGGTGGAGAGGAGCACGCATGCGCAGACGCAGCCAGCAAGCTAAAGAAGCTGCGTCACGTGCGTCTTCAGCGTTTGTGAGATCACGTGACTCCATTTACTTTACAAGCTTTAAGGAGTCACGTGATTGTTTCATGGATTTTTTTTACCTTAATCAACCGTAGATTATTAGAATAAACGAAAAATAATTTTGCATTTTTATGGATCTTAGAACTTCCTCGTGAGCGTAAAGTGGGTGTAAAATATTAAAAGCGGGTTGTTTAGGTTAATAAAATAGAATTGAAGTGTTTTCAATGTGCATTTGTTTATTTAACACACGCCTGATAAAGCAGGTACCTTCTGAACAATGTTGGGAGTAACGCGGTACAAAAGTAATTAATTACTGTAATGCATTGCTTTTAGCTGTAATGTGGTAATGTAAGGCATTACAGGGAAAGAAAATGGTAATATTTACTCGGTACAATTGTCAGTAACGCGGTAATTACAATGCACTTTAAAACCCAGAATCAAGATGTGGGTTTCTTAAAAATTAAAATTGCGGAAAGCCCAAAATAAAGATCCGGTATCTACATATATGACGTAATTTATGGACTCAGCTTTGCGGGCATTCTATGAGCAGAGAAGACGCAGCGGTAACGGCTCAAATACTCCAGCTGCGTCCTGCGCGCGGCCGCTGTTATATTCACAAAATCGCTCCACCAAAACAAAATAATTAACTTGCGATCGTTCATATCAGCCCATATTCTCTGTACTTTCTGTACTTTTCTGACGTGCTTTGCCTCAGCTGAGTTCATAATCTGTGCCCTCGCCCGGTGATTTCAACTCATTGCTGCTGGATCGCAGCGCATATTAAGCTTTTATTTATTTTTATTATTTTTTTTTTGCGTTCGGTAGATCCCTTTGGCTGATTAGTTAGAAAGTAGGAAATCTAGTTTACCGTTTTTCTGGAAGACGGAGAAAACATGCAGCATGCAGGAAGGTTAGAGAGAGAAAGGGCCGGAAATTATTCAAATAAAATCAAGAAAACAAAACAAAGGGCTTGAAAAGAAAAAAAGTAGGTAGATTTATCCCCAATACACATTTTTACCAGTGAAAAGCAATAATATATAAGCATTTAACATTTATACATGTGATAGAATCAGATCACCCCAGAAGTCAGTCCCACATCCAGGGCCGTATCAAGGCATTTGGGGACCAAGGCAAATATAGGCTTGGAGCCCCCACCACCTCACTTCCTGCTCAGTTAATCTAAGATGGCAGCGTGCTGAGAGTACAGATTGTTGTTGCTTTTATTTAATAAACAATCATTTTAAAGCACTTTTATTATATCTGACTGTTTTAACAGCAATCCTAGCTCAGACACCACATCACCTTCCTCTGGATGTGTCATGAGCTCATTGAGCGTCACATGACTTATTTCGTATTGAAATTGTTTTGGTGAAAGTAACTGAAAGTAATGCAAAAGTAGTGTAATGCCTTACATTTTAAAATCAGTAATATTGTAATGTAATCAATTACATTAAAATGAGGGTAACAAGTAATAAATAATGCATTGCAGTTTTGAAGTAACTTGCCCAACACTGCTTCTGAAAAGGTAAATTATTCTGTTGTTTTAATTATTCGGATTGTTCCCGCCGGGTCACGACCGTTGTGAACAAGTCCGTTTGTCAGACATTTATTTACTGAACAGTTACTTCTCTACAACCTCAAACACATCAGTGCCGTGGGAACACGCGCTGACCGTGTTTAACATGTTTATATTTACGTGTAATAGTCGTCAGCCTTCATTTTTCTTGGTCCATTCTTCAACATAACAGCAGCGTATTACCACCAACACTGGAAAACCCACACATGACAAGTCAAAACTTCCAGAGTCCACCGAACATGGAGCTGATGCTCTGCAGCTGCAGACAGCAGATCTGACACCTGAGTGTTCACCAGCAGAAGCAGAACCACCCTCCAGGAACATCTCCTCGTGTAACGGAAATTAAATGTGCACGTGCCACCACAGAAAAACAGTTTCAAACCAACATCAGAAAACATCGGTGCAGTAACAGTTCACCTTTCACTAGTTTTAGTTCCGTTGTGCACACTTTATTTATTTATTTATTTTTACAGCGCTTTGTGTTCTGCTCTGAAGGTTTGAACTTTGAGAAAGTTTAAACACGAGCGTGAGATCGATAGGCGGATTGGTACTGCGTCTGCAGTGATGCGGGCGTTGTACCGGTCTGTCGTGGTGAAGAGAGAGCTGAGTCAGAAGGTGAAGCTTTCGATTTACTGGTCGATCTACGTTCCTACCCTCACCTATGGTCATGAGCTTTGGGTAGTGACCGAAAGAATGAGATCGCGGATACAAGCGGCCAAAATGAGTTTTCTCCGAAGAGTGGCTGGGCTCTCCCTTAGAGATAGGGTGAGAAGCTCGGTCATCCGGGAGGGGCTCGGAGTAGATTCACTGCTTCCACATCGAGAGGAGCCAATTGAGGTGGCTCGGGCATCTGGTCAGGATGCCTCCTGGACACCTTGCTGGTGAGGTTTTCTTGGCACATCCAACCGGGAGGAGGCCTAAAGGATGACCCAGGACACGCTGGAGGGACTATGTCTCTCACCTGGCCAGGGAACGTCTTGGGATTCCCCCGGAGGAGCTGGTCCAATTGGCTGGGGAGAGGGAAGTCTGGGCCTCTCGCCTTAGGCTACCGCCCCCGCGACCCGACTCCGGATGAGTGGATGAAAATGGATGGATGGATTGATGAATGGATGGATGGACGGATGGATAATTATTTGTGGTAGTATTAGATAATAACCTACAGTAGCATGTAACTAACAACTTTTAGAAATAAGTGGAGAGAATTGATTTATTGTGGTGACCCATGAAGAGAAAGCCAAAAGACAAGAAACAATTATTGTTTTGTTTCTTTCAGCACAAAGAAATTATAGTAAATTAGATAATTAAATTAATAAAATAGTAACCATAATCTATCTGTATTTATTTAATCTATCTATCTGTCTGTCTAGCTCTTGGCATTGATTTTATCAGTATTTTCGAGCTCTTTGCAATTTTGTTCAGCTATGGATCATTTTAAATAGTGTCAAACTAATAAATCCTTATTTTGTTAGTACTAAAAATTACCACACGCTAACTAGATGGTTTGTTACACATAAAAAAGCTCTCTTTTTCCGAAGATTCGGAATTACAATTGTGCCACTCACAGTTTTCCTTGCTCTTTTTTTATGAATTGAAAAATACACATTTTAATTTTATCTTATAACTGGGAAATATTGCTTTGGCTGGTTAATAAACGGTAAAGCATTAACCAGGGTAATAATTTTGATATAATAATTTAAATATCAAAGCTTACATCATTTTAAAAGGTAATCATTTAGGATATATTAATACATATACATGGTTTCTTAAAATTATTATTAATGTTATGATAAATGATCGCCAAATGTAGCCAGAAAGCTCCACCCGGAGGCTGAAAGTAGCGTGTAACTCGGAACGTAACTCATCCAGCCCAGCAGGGGCGCAAGAGGCACGGTGATATCCTTCAAACCAAGAAAAAGAAATGATTAGCTAGCACCATCATATGTTTAGCATTGCCTCCGCCCGCACGACAACATCACAAACGTGTGATTTAACTTTCCCACATCGGGCTTTTAGTCAAATTTCTTTACTCCGTCCACACATTGCACTGTTAAGATACTAACTGCAATATTTCATACACAACCGGTTTCCGCGTACATGAGACTGCTGACTACTAAAAACCCGCCTCTGATAAATATGATTGGTTGTCACGCATCCCTGCGCAGCAGTTCGCGGTTTGTGATTGGTTCACGGCTCCGGCGTGACGTCATCTCTGCTTTAAGGATACATACGAGGACGTTGAGCTTTAGGAGTAAGTAATCTTGGTTTTAATTCAAATAAAAGTAGTTTGGTTGTCTAATTTCAAATTTGAGAAAGTGTGTGAAATACTGTATGTAGCAGCCAAGGTAATCGGGACATAATAGATCAAACACAACGGAATAAAACGTACTTATTGATTGCTGTCACTGCGAGTTCCCCTCACACACAGGAGGTCTGAGGAAGAACACAAGGAGTTGTAGGAGTTGGCTGCAGAGTTGATTCAAAGGTTATAAATAACGCATTTATGACCAGAGTCCGTGGCACTGTGTTTTAGAGTTAATTAACATGCATGAAATGAATTTAGTTATGATCCAGCTTCGTTTAATGTACTTAGTTTCTATTATCACACAGTAACCAGCACTCTGGTTTTAATCATGCATGATAAACGCAACTGGCATTTGTCCAGCTGGCCTTTGGACACATTTTCCTTTCCTTTGTAAATAGTTTTTGATGGAATTTAAGGGTTTTGCTTCAAGAAAAGTACTACAGAAACATAACAAATACAGGGATGTGTATTGTTGAAATTCTGGCGATACGATACAAATCACGATACAGGGGAGACGATACGATATATCACGATATATTGCAATACATTCAGTCAGACATTACAAGCAATTTTTTTTCACTAAATTTGTTGTAAGAATGTTCAATAAACAGTCCAAATTGATACGTAACATGTTTAACATGAGGTATCTGACCCATGATGGAGGGATTTACATTTCAATGGTGGAAACAAAACCCGTTGCACACTGCTGCCAACTAGCGGGTGGCGATTGGATTGCACAAAACGAAAAGAAAATACACAAATGTTTGCATGTAAATTCTTTCAAAAATTAGATACACGGCTTTTGAATATCGATGTAATAATCGCAGGAAAAATTATCACGATATATTGCCATATCGATATTTCCGATACACGGCTTTTGAATATCGATATAATATTGCTGGAAAAAATATCACGATATATTGCGATAGCGATATTTTCTTACATCCCTAAACAAATATTCTCTTTTTTTTCTTTTTGTTTAAGAAAAGCTGACTTGTGCTGTATAAACAGTGATTCTTTACCATGGTTCTCAAAATAATGCATGATGAATTTAACAACTAATTACTGGCTTTATTATTTTTAAGAAACAAAATAATTCAACAATATGTAAAATATTCTCATGAAACAACAAACACGTTTCTTTATCCCAAGACATTTTCCAGCGGGATCAGACAAAAGTAACAGGGACAAACAAGAGTATAATATATGTGGGGGGGTCTCACTGACTGTACCTAGGCGCCGTAGAATATAGATGTGTGATGCTTAATCGGAATTATGGATTCACAATGCACATACTATTTAAATTTTCTCTTCCTCTTCTAAGGAACTCTGGTAGGAAACAAATAATGAAGAAGCCGAGGGACTGAGCTTCACTGAAGTAGTTGTGGATGCTCCATGTGGATCCATGTTGCTGTAAGCATCATTGTCTGTCCACATGGGGACATCTTGTTATTATAACGACCTGAGAGGTTTTGACTCTGCTGAATACTGCCAGAGGTTTAGTAATGGTGACAGCGGTTAATGGTTATATTGTGTCTCCCAGCTTCTCCATCCCCAGTCTGAGCAGAGCGGCGGTCCGTGTGAGGAGACTCGTGGCTCAACTTAGCTACGCAACAATGTCCACCGGTAGTTCAGCCAATAGAGACGCTCCCACAGCAGCCATTCTCATCATTGGAGATGAGATACTGAAGGTAGTTGACTTCCAGGCTCTCTGTGACTGACAGTAAAACTCTTTGAAAGTTATTTTTTGCTGGTTTGAGTGTGTTTGACATTACAAACATGTCCTCTGTGATCAGTGAGCCTTGGCTGTTTGGGTGTGTTTGAGTCTCGTAGCCTCCAGGAAAACCTTGTGGTTGTTTTTTGATGTGACTTTCTTCTCACCGTTGTTCCTTGACTTGACACGACTTAAAACACGAAGCCTTTGATTCTGTCCAATGTCACGTCCGACGCTCTGAATGTGTCGACCGTGGAGTCCTTGGATGTCATCACTCAGAGCTTTAAAGTTTTCCAGCTTTGTGTCGTTTTAAGGTCCTTGAGTTTGACGTGGGCGTGGAAGCGCCGCAGTGAAACTTGCTGTGCGTCTTTCAGGGTCACACCGCCGACACCAACAGCACCTTCCTCGCCCGAGCGCTCCGGAGGCTCGGCGTGTCCGTGCAGCGCATAACCGTCATACCGGATGTACGGGAGGTCATAGCCAAAGAGGTGCTCCTCCTCTCCTCTCAGTATACACACCTCATAACGTCAGGGGGTGTTGGCCCCACGCACGATGACATCACCTTGGAGAGCATAGCTGTGGCGTTTCAGGAGGAGCTGTACCCTCACCCCGAGCTCACTCGGCTGGTGGAGGAGTTCTTCGGCACGACGGACATGAACGGTCCGGCTATGAAGATGGCCATGGTGCCCCGATCAGCCAAGCTCAACTATGGAACAGACCCTCAGTCTGGGAAGTGCCAGCGCTACCCGGTGGTGAGTTCAGGGCCCTCAGAAACATCTGTTCGTGTTTACAACGGAGGTTTGTCTAAAACGTTTCTGTTATTTTGGTTAAATAAGACCAAACCGCTCACTTCCAGAACGCGGTGCACCAGAACACAGCTCGTGTTGCTGGTAGAGTCATTACACATACTGACCTGAACACCACTAACTAGTAGCATTACATAACTTGTGACATGGTCGGTTGACTAAAAATCTACATTTTCATGTTAGAATTGTAAGTTTTCATTTTACTCGCCCTATTAAAGTGTTTGATGTTTTTATTTTTCCCATTTAGGAATGCGCTCGTGCAAAAAGCACGTTTTTTTCAATGGGCACACCTTCCCTCTCAGCTGTAGCTCATTCTGACGTTCTCATTTGTCCACCTTCTCAAAGGTCAGTGTGCGTAACGTGTACGTGTTTCCTGGAACCCCATCCTTCATGGAGATGGCTTTCACCGGACTGGAGCGCCTCTTTTCTAGTTCAGGAACCACCTTTTACACCCGTGAGGTAACACGCCGTCCTGCAGAAGTCCGCTGTTACACCAAATTCTGCGACCCATCACATTTTGTGACCCCAGGGGGCAGTGTTGCGTTTTGTTGCGTCTGTACATCCTGAATTGGCATAAAAGAAGAAGATGCTGTGTTCAAACCGTAAACTACGTAAGCTTTGAGGGAGTTGTGCGGCGTGGACCGTGGATATTAAAAAGAGCGTTTGTTAATGTTTATTGCAAACAAACGGGACGAAAAATGCAGCGATACACTAGGGATGCAACGATACCACTTTTTTTCCAAACCGATACGATACCGATACTTGGATCTGAATATTCGCCGATACCGATTACCGATACTTCTACCACACAAAAAATGCAATGATTTGAAATATAGATTTTATTTTTTTCTCTGCTTTCAACAGGAAAAGACTGTGAGGTAGATAAAAAGTTAAATATATGAATAGAAAACTAAAATATTAGGTGAACAGAAATGACTAGTTACAGGGAAGCCTTTTACAAGCAACTGCATTGGTATTGCTTAACTTTTACCGATACCGATACCAGTATCGTATGGGTGTCTGCACCCATACGATACCAGTATTGGTATCATTTAACTTTTACCGATACCAGTATTGTATCAGTATCAGCACCGACACCAGTATCGGCGCAGATACTGATACCAGTATCGTATCGGTATCTGCACAGATACCGACACCAGTATCGTATTGGTATCTGCACCGATACGATACCAGTATTGGTATCTTTTAACGATTACCTATACCAGTATCGCATCAGTATCTGCACCGACACCAGTATCGGTATCGGCGCAGATACCGATACCAGTATCGTATCGGTATCGGTGCATCCCTAGCGACAACCAGGGCTTTGACAAGAAATGATTGCTAACGTTATACATTGATTTTACAACATGCGAGGTCCGCAGGAAAAATGTTCAGTACGTCCATTTATTGAAATAAATTGTTGTGATCCACATCCTCAGTTTATTAGAAACCACTGCAGATTATCTGGTTGCTACGGTTTTTTTCCTGTCACTCCAATGCCACTCATGTACTGGTGGAGAGAAAAGGGAAATAAAATGACACAGACATCACGAAACGTCGTTTGTCGTTATTATCTTTAGTGAAAATGAAAGACGTCTGCGTTATTACTGAGATGCAGGTGGTCACATTCTGTGATGGCTGCTATCATATTCTGTGACCACGGTCCCCGCCGCACAACTTCCTCAAAGCTCACGTAGTTTACGGTTTGAACGTAGCATCTTCTTCTTTTATGCCAATTCAGGATGTACAGACGCAACAAAACGCAACACTGCCTCCTGGGGTCACAAAATGTGATGGGTCGCAGAATTTGGTGTAACACCTGTTTGTCAGTGATGCGACGGAGCTAACCAAACTTCATCCCGTCAGGTGTTTGTTGATGCGGAGGAAACGGAGATTGCTCCCGTGTTGACCAAAGTGCAGGCCGACTGGGGCAGGAAGGTTTCCCTCGGCTCTTATCCTGATTGGCTGAGTAATTATTGTAAAGTCCGACTGGTTCTGGACTCGAACAGCCGAGAGGAGGTGGACAAAGCTCGAGCGCAGCTGGTTGATGAGCTGCCTGAGGGCAGCGTGGTGTCCATAGTCAAAGACCCGGTGTCCATCGCCAGCGCAGAGGTGTACAGACTGGCTAACAACGGTGAGCACCCTGGAAAGATCGTTAAATCTTTTTTTTTTTTTTAACAGAACAGCAGCTGAACGCAGATGAAAACTGGGTCTGAGTGACTGAAAATGGATCAAATCTGAGTAAATCTGCTGCAACTTTTACAGTTTATGGTTCCAAATGAACCGCTGAGAACTTTAAAGGGGCATTATGGAAGTTTGACAGCCAAAACACGTATAGAAATAATAAATGTCTTCTTCATACGTTCTCCTGCAATGCCCTGGTCCTGTAGAATGAGCCCTGGCATTTTTACTGTGATTGCCTGTTTTTCTGTAAAATCACAGAAAAAGAGAGATGCTCGGGTCGAGCAGGCTGCTTCATGCGCGTTCACGCTCAGGCATCGCCCGTAGCATTTGCTATCCGTAGCTTTAGCAGCAGAGAGAGAGGCAGTGCCACTTTGTCGCTGTTCCTAACGCCTAGTGACAAAGCTAGCTACATTTCTGAGGACCCTTAGCTACTTTCTGTAGAACTTTCTTCTAGATATTTCCTGCAAATTAGCAACAAAATAGCCATTTTCACTCCGAACCGTTCTTTGGTTTGACGTTGTTTCAGCTGTCATCAAGGATATAAAAGTTACAGATACTATAAATGTTACTAGAGTGTAGCTCATCTTGTAAGATGTCTGACTCCCATGCAGAAGACCTGGGTTTGATTCTGGATGTGAACATAGTTTATTTTTTACATTAATGGTATTTTTTTTACAGTAAGATGCCCAAATTTTTATTTGAGACTTGCCGAACGGCATTGAATTCACAGATAAAAAAGATGTGGGTTCAACTTTCATTTTGGAACAATTTTTCAAGCAAGGGAAGGGAATGATCTGAGCATGCAGGAGGACTGACCCATCATAAACCTTTGTCGGCTGTGCTGAAGAGAAAGGTACAGAACCAAATTATTTAATTCATTAGCTGCACGTTCTCCTGTCCTCCGGGCCACCACACACACACACACACACACACACACACACACACACACACACACACACACACACACACACACACACACACACACACACACACACGGGACTGTCTCAGCTGTTATTTTCGTTAAGGAGTGTGCACGTACAGCATGTGCGCCTTGTGCATGAGCCTACTATTGAAGCTGCTGTTACGCTTTTGGCCTGAGGGGGCAATCGCGAGCATAAAAATTCAAAAGTCCGTAAAGTCCCTTTAAAGATGAGCACAAACCAAATGTGTCATCAGACCCTCATGTGGTCAGTGCAGTCGGTCATTTTGGAGCCTTTATGTTGCCTTTTGTCTTCATTTTTCTGCTTTATGTATTTAATTATAATCCTTAGCAAATGCATCATCAGGGTTGCAGGTGAGAGGCTGAGTGACACCTGGACAGGTCATCAGTCCATCGCAGGGTTAATTAGCATGCAAACTAGGTTCTAACTTAGACTCGCCGTTTGTTTGGTTTTTGCACTGCGAGAGGAAACTGGAGTTCACGGAGAAAAGTCGTGCAGAACTGGACCCAGTTGGGTGTCACACCTGCAACAGCGCTACCAACGTCACCACCATGCAGCCCAAAAGTGGATCATTTACACGTTAATTGCATTATTTCCGTCTGCATGGAACTCGGCTTTGAAAGCAGACGCTAAACTCACATTCAGGCCAGCACAAAACAAGCTGACAGGCAGCTTTCACTGGTGTGCAGAATACAATTTTAAAGGTGTGGAACACTGGAAAACCATTTTTAATGATTATGTTTGACTAACGGGTCACTCTGAGTGTTTGATGCAGGCTGAACATGAAAACAGTCTCCTACACCCTTCTCCTGCAGTAGCTTCTGATAGAAAACAGACGGTGAAACTCTAGGAGTAGAAAATCCTGACAGATCTACGTCACCGTGTCACTAACATTCATGGAAACAGCAGAGAACGTCTCAGCTAGTAGAAGCTAACCGTTAGCATGAGCAGCTCCACCACACATCAGAACTCCTCCAGACTTGTGTTATTTGTGGAGATAAAACATCAACGTTGCATTGAGTCGTGTTGCTGTTAGCCAATCAGAGGAGAGCTGTCCAGACACCAGGAAATGGGACTAAATCCTGCTCCGTTCAGCCGCGCTCTCCTCCAGCTGACTCCTCCGTACTGACACAGGATGCTTCTGGGCTTCCTTTCTCTTTGAGAACGACTTACAAGGCATCCATTCCTACTAGAGGCCACTGCTAGCCTAGTGAGCTAGACCAAATTCTTGCTTTGCAAAGAATGGTCTAGGCATGCTCCATTGGAACCTCAGCAGCTCCTACCAGGACTCTGGCTAGCCAATCACAGCTCTCTAGAGGGGTTTCAAACACATAAAGAGCTGTGATTGGTCCATAATGGTGGGCCAATCATAGTGCTTTATCTGCTCAGTGAACAAATCACAGAGCTTTATCCGCTTTGTGGGCCAATCAGGGCACTCTATATGCCTGGTGGGTGGGATGATGCAACAGAGTGAAACAAGAGTATGTCACATTCATTGTCCAGTGGAATGTGGAGATCATTTGAAAGACAACGGTAGAACCCGCCCCACAACCGAAAGCT